GACTCGCAGTACGACACCCCAAACAAGAAGATCGTGACCACGCCCATCACCGCGACCGATGAACTGGGCAGCGATGACTACGACTCGGTGTATACACAGTTGGACCCCTACGTCACCTACGACGTCGAGGTGACGGCCAACAACGAGGTCGGCGCCGCGCCCCTCTATCGCTTGGGCCACCAACGCACCGAGTCAGCCGCCCCCGAGGCGGCGCCGACACAGCTTGACTTTACAGGCGTAACTAGCAGTCAGATGACGCTGAATTACGTGTTGCCTCTTAAGCATGAGCGTAATGGGCCAATCGATTACCTGGCTCTAGTTGTCGAACGCACGGAGCGCCAATACTACAATTCAAACGGTGCCTTGACGCAGCTTGAGTACTCGACCACGCTGGATCAAGACTCGCCTTTTTCGAACGACCGCAGTGGTCATGAGCGGGGTCAAAACGATGACTACAGCCGGACCTTTACTGACTTGCGGCCTTACACACTGTATACCATGAACATGTCACTCGTTACGGTGAACACGCAGGGCACCGGTGTGATCTTGCGTGGTCCAGGGCGCGTGGCAGAGCGCCGCACGCTTTCAGCGCGGCCTGAAGCACCGCCCGCGGTCACGAGTGCCGTTCTGCCTGATGGATATAGTTCACAATCAGCCTTTGCTGTCAGCTGGGTCGCACCCTCCACGTACTCGGGTCCCATCCGTCGGCTCTCGCTCGTGGTCGAGCCACAAGGCAGTAGCACCCATGCCGTCGCCTCGTTGGACTGCGCCTCTAGCAGCTGTGATTTCGGGACGTGGTCCGAAGCCCAGGCTGCCAGCAGCCCGATGGCTTACATTGCGTACAGCCAGACCTTTACCGAGTCGGAGGGATTGGGGGATCTGTCTCGAAGCTCTTTTGTCATTGGTGCCGAGCGAGAGAAGGTCGACGCTGACGGTGATGGTTATGTCAATGGTCCTCTCAAAGCAGGTGCCACCTACACCTTCCGTCTCCTCACCTGCACGCAAAATGGCAACGATGAACTGTGCCAGGCCGCCAGCCTCAACCCGACCACGGCCTTGGCCTCGACGGCGGCTGCCCCCGCTGACAATACTGGCATCATCGTTGGAGTTGTCATTGTCATCATCGTTCTCATTGTGGCCGTTCTTGTCTTTGTCATGTGGCGGCGTCGCCAGAACAAAGCCGCTGCGCCTGATGAAGATTTCTGGCGCAACGACACAGCTTCGACGATGACCAACTCTACCGCTGTGGATGTAAACAACTTTCACTCGCCAGTGCCGGCGCCACGCTCCGGCCCGTCGATGGGTCTCGTGCCGGTCCGCCCGACCTCGACGTCCTCGTCCCTACAGCCCAGCTTGCCTCCCAAGGGCGGGGCTTCTGCGGCAGTTATTGCGCCACCCCGGGGCGCTAGCAGTGTCGCTGGTGGCGCTGCCAGCGGCGTGCCGCACATGCCCCCTGTTGAGCGTCATGAGATCTCGGTGTCGGACCTCAACACGGTGATTCAGCAGATGGCCGCCAACTCGGACTTTGCGTTCTCCGAGGAATACGAGTGCATTGAGTCGGGCTCTGAGTTTGGTCGCAATTACGCCATCATGGACCGCAACCGGCAAAAGAACCGCTTTGCCAACATTTTGGCTTACGATCACTCGCGTGTGCCGTTGCACAAGCTTCCCAACGATCCGTATTCCGACTACATCAATGCCAACTACATTGATGGCTATAACCAGCCCAAGTCGTACATTGCTGCGCAGGGACCACTGCCACACACACTCATGGACTTTTGGCGCATGATCTGGGAGCAGCGCGTCTCGGTTATCGTCATGGTCACCAACCTCGAGGAGAAGGGCCGCACCAAATGTCACCGCTACTGGCCTGAGGAAGTGGGTGGTCAACTCCCGCTGACGACCAACATGAGCGTATTCATGACCAAGCAGGAGGAATTCCCAGACATGGTCATTCGCCATCTGACTGTGCAGGTGAGCCAGCAGTCGCGGGTTGTTACCCAATTTCACTACATCTCCTGGCCTGATCACGGTGTCCCAGATTCCACTGCTGGCATCTTGACGACTATCCGCCGGGCCAAGGAGACGCGTAACCAGGCCGCTGCGGGGCCCATGGTGGTTCACTGCTCTGCCGGTGTGGGCCGCACTGGTACGCTCATTGCCATCGATTACAATTTGGACAAGGCCGCCAGCGAGAACAAGGTTGATGTCATGGGCAGTCTCAACGAGATGCGTCGCCAGCGCACCACCATGGTTCAGACTGAAGGACAGTACATTTTTATCTACCGGGCATTGGCAGATGGTCTTTCCAACATTGTAACGGAGATGAGTCCCGAAACGCTGCGCAAACATTTTGATGAGCTGCGCAAGCCCGTCTCCTCCGGCGGCACTCAGCTGGACCAGGAGTTCCGTGGCCTCAGTCAGGGCCCGCCCTCCTCTAACACGCGTACTGACGCTGCTCAGCAGATGGCAAACAAAAGCAAGAACCGCTTTCAGAACATCATGCCTTACGATGCTTCGCGCGTCAAGCTATCGGCCCTGCCGGGTGTTGTCGGCTCGGATTACATCAACGCCAGCTACATTGACGGCTTCCGTCAACGCAAGCAGTTTATTGCCACACAGGGCCCCATGCAGAGCACGCTGGCAGACTTCTGGCGCATGGTATGGGAGCAGGAGGTTCACAGCATTGTCATGCTGACTCACCTTGAGGAGAGTGGCCGGCAAAAGTCAGAACAGTACTGGCCCTCCCTGGGCAGTGACCCCCTCAATGTTGGAGATTTGCAGGTGTCCATCTCTGAGGAGGAGCACAAGAGCTTTGGTGTGGAGCGCACCTTGACTCTGCTCAACCCCGTCTCGGATCAAGCACGTGAGGTCAAGCACTGGCAGTTTCCAAACTGGCCTTCCTCGGGCGAAATGGGCTCTGGCCGTGACTTGGTTGACTTGGTGATGCGCGTTGAGGACTACGCGCGAAGCAAGGTTGTAGTGCCTCAAGAGGAGAGCATCTACGGCAACCGCGAGGCCATCAACGAACACGCTATCTTGCAACAGCTGAAGCCCACGGTGGTGCACTGCAGCGCTGGCGTGGGCCGAACGGGCGCATACTGTGCTGCTGTTATTTGCCTCGAGCGCATGAAGCAGGAGAACAAGGTGGATCTGTATCAAGTGACGAAGCATTTGCGCACGCAACGACCTGGTATGGTCCAGACCGCCGAGCAGTATGCCTTTGTGTACCGCGTCATCTTGGATTACTTGGACAAGCAGAATGGCGCTGGTCCGATGGCGGCCATGGAGAGCATGTATGCGACGCCCATTAGTCAGCCTGCGTTTGGTGAAGACTCGGAGATGATGTCATCCGACCTTGGAGCCCGTGTCGTCAACTTTGACAGTGGGCCACCGCCAGCTCGGTAAGCCCCGCCGCTTCGTTGAACCTCCCACCCTTGTCTTGGTTCTTTTTTGCTCTTTCTTTGTTCTTGCTTTATTCTTGCGTTGTTCTTGCTTTGAACTTGCTTTGTACTTGCGTTGTTCTTCTTTGTTCTTCTTTTTTGCCTTTGCAGTGTGTGGTGTTGCCTTCTCATGCTCTCCGCTATGCCTGATGCTTTACTGTTCTTGTAGGCCGGCCAAGTCTCGCAACGTCAATTTGAACGATGAAGATGAGTCAGCCTACGGTTTTGAGGCCTAGCGGGCTCGCGTCGAGACTTACGACACACATCTGGATATTGGTGTTTGAGTTCCGCTCAATCCGGTTTTAACTGGTCGGAATGGAACTTGTGCGCCGTTGTCTTCTGTCATGTGTTCTATATTGAAGCTCTTGTGCCGTCGCTCCGTGGAAGATTGGGGTTGTGCATGTCAACTCGTGTCCAGCCCTGGTCCTCGCTGTATCTTTGCTCGCAAACCTTCCTTTCTTGTTGTTGCTGTATCTTTTTTGTTTTTGTTTTTTGTTTTTTGGTGCGTGCGCGCGCGCGAGCATGATGCATGTGATGCCTTTTTCTTTTTGGTGTACCTATCCTTGTTTTATCCAATTTGACAGATCATGTCACTGTGTTGACCGTGTTTTAGTGCCGTTGACCGAATGTGCTTGTGTTGTTAGTTTGGTTGTTTGTTAGCTGTGTCCCCCCCCTCTGTTGAAGTGAGCTCATGCAAAGTCATCTTTGCCAAGTGCGCCAGACCCCGACCACTCTGGTCTGTGGAGACGGATCTGTTGTCTGCACGAGCGGGATGTGCCCTTGTCCCAGAAGTGTTCATGAATATATTTTTCTTGTTGTTTATGTCTCCGCGTCCTACGTGGCGCAGAGAGTGTGTTTGTGACTGAATTCTACGACTTTCCTCAACAGAAGCAGGCCTCGCGTGGTGTTGCCGAAGCAATCAGATTGTTTGCCCAAATTGATGAGCGCGAACCTTGTGTGATCAACCAACGAATTACAATCACATTTCTACCAGTGACAACCTTTCTTTGCCGCTTTGGGAGGAAGTAGAACTTGGCAACAAGGCAAAGGGGAGGAAACAAATCGCATCGTCATTGATGATTGGAAAAGTGGGGACAAGTCCCGCAAGCTTTGCATCGATGTGAGAAGAGAAGGCCATCTGTGTGCCTTGTCCAGAACCATTGTGTGTCTGTGTGTATCTGTGTGTCTGTGTGTATCTCCCCTTTCCCCAAGTTGATGCAGCTGGGTCCTCTTGCCGAGGCGATGCGGCCCCGACTTCAGCACTGCGATCGCACCGTGGCATAAGTATGTGCCGCCAGATGACAAACGCTTGTTTCTCTCTTTGACCTCAATCTCACCCAGGCTCGAGTTTGGCCCCTGCTTCGTCGCCTCCTCTGACCAGTCACGTCTTACCTGCTAAAAACACATGCTCACCACGAGAAAGAAGCAATTCATTGGCAACTCACCAATGATTGCTCCATCCGCGCAAGAAACACGTGCATACATGCACCTCGAGCCTGTGCGCGTGGTGTTTTTCTCTCGTTTGTGCATTCCGGCATTTGTGCTCGTTTCAAAATTATGTGCTTTTTTTTCGTGCTCTGTGTGTGTGCGTATTTGTGCGTGTGTCTCTCTCATTCTCTAAATCTCTCTCGCTCTCGCTCTCTCGCTCTCTCGCTAAATCTCTCTCTAAATCTCTCTCTAAATCTCTCTCTCTCTCTAAATCTCTCTCTCTCTCTACATCTCTCTCTCTCTCTACATCTCTCTCCCCCTCTCTCTCTGAATCTCTCTCTCGCTCTCTCTCTCTCTAAAGCTTTTTGGCACCGGCATGTACGGCGCACAGAAGAGTTTCCTGGGGCTGGACGTGACCGTGGTCTCTGCACAACCTGCGGCGGGTACCGGAGAGTGGACGGTTGGCAAGGCGATGAAGGAGGCTGAGAAGCAGAAGATGTCCAAGTACAAAGGTTTCAACAATGACAAAACTCACGTTGTCGCCTTGGCGATGACCACGACCGGAGGACTTGGCTCTGATTTTCTTAGTCTGCTGCGACGACTTGCCGTGGTGGCGGAGAATAGCGGAGTCTACCAGCCTGGGCTGGAGGAGAACTTCGCTACACGCTGGAAGGAGCGGCTCACGGCGACCCTGCACATTGCCAACAAGGACATGTTGGTGCGCCACTTTGGGCAGGGGCTTTGGGTCTTTGGGTGTAGAGTCCTTTCGTTATTTATGAGAACCATGAGTCACTCTTAGGGGTGGACTCCCTTGGTATTTAGTGTTGTCGTTGGTTGTTGTTTTTCAGTGGTGTTTGTTCCTTTTGTTTCCCTGTTGTTGTTACATGTGGTAGTTGTACTTTTCCTTTGTGTCTTTCTCTCTTTCTCAAACCGACCAAACTAAAGCTCTCTCTCCCTCCTCTCTCTCTAAATCTCTCTCAATCTCTCTCTCTCTGAATCTCACTCTCGCTCTCTCTCTCTCTCTCTAAATCTCTCTCTCTCTCTAAATCTCTCTCAATCTCTCAAAACCTAAAAACCTAAACCCCTCTTTCTCCCACACATCTCTCTCTCCTTCTCCCACACTTCACTCGCCCCGCTCTCCTTTCTCCTTGATGAGACAAGTTTCAAAATGCGACATTTTTTCATGTGGAGCCGAAACCCGCCACGACCACGACCACGGAGCGCTTCTTTTCCGTCTCTGCTTGTTCAGTAGTTTGTGGTGCATGGGCGGGGCGAGCGAGCGCGCGCATCATGGCCTTGGGCCGGTGCATGCTGCTTGTTGTGGCAGCGGTCATGGCAACAACTACGATTGCTGCCAAACCACGAGTCGCACAAACACCAGACCCTGGCCAGGAGGACTCGATCGTGCCACATGGCGCCAGCCAGATGCAACTGCCATCAGGTGAATGCTTTCCCGACTTGACGCAGCCACAACGAGCAGCCGCCGTTCCCCCGCACTGCCACGATTTTTACAGGCTCTATCAGCAGTTGGTTGCGTCCCTGCAAATCCAGCCCCACCAGCTCGCCCAAGCTCAGGCTGACGCCGACGCCTACCTGGCATCCCTGACCCCGAGCTGCACGTTTGACAACCTCGACTATGACGATCAAACGCTCAGCTCGTAG